GACAGATAGCTTATCTTGTCAGGAATAAGTGGCGTAAGTTTGGTCCCCCTAGCAGCTTGTTCTGGAACTGCAGGTTAGTTTCTGGTAAAACTTTCAAAGCCAATAAGTCTAGATTGGAACAACGTATTTTCATCATTTTTGGTGTGTAGGTACCTGAGAGACAGTTGTACATGATTAAATGCAAATTATGCAAATGCGGACTTAATTTGCATAATTAATGAGGAAATTCTATGATTACAGTGTTTCATATAATGGTACTGCTATACATGTAATCTATTTAATCTGTGGCAGGCGGAACATCAACAGATACCAATTATGCAAATGATGACCTAATTTGCATGATTAATGTGAAAATTCTGTAAATTCTTATTGGTGAATGATGGGAATTTCATACCTTGTAACATGTGTAAGTTACTTAAAGCTTTGCATCGCTATGCATATATTATGTTAATGTAGAGGTTATTTGCATAATTGTTTAGACTGTATGCAAATCCCGCGTCACTTGTCGGCATCTCGCATCTCTGATTGGTTGTTGCGTCTTAAGATGACTGAGCCGAAGCACATTTAAACAATTTTTCTTTGTTCGATTTATCACACTTCACAGAGAATTGTCGCCAATGGCTACTTCTTTTTGTTGCAATATATCATACTTCACGGAGAATTGTCACCTATGGCTTCTTGTTCAATTTATTTTGACTTGACACAAGAACAGTGAATGAGCAAATAAAGAACTTCAGAACAGTTACTCATGTTTGGAATTTTGTTACGAATCATAGAATGTCATTTTTGATCATCAATGTTTAGATGTTAACAGTTTGACCAGATTTGTTGGTGCCAGATGTTGTCTCGTATCTTGTGGGGAGAAGATGTAGGATACAGTGTTACATACATTTTGTTCATGTCTAGTACAGGTAATAAGACAAAAGTATGTCACATGTACAATGTATTTGAACAGGAACACCAGTCTGTATTCCTGTATGTGGGCAGTTTTTGCCAAATAAAAGAGCTACAACTTCTACATTAGAGATGCATATGTTTCATTTACTTTCTATGTGTTTCCTACACAGAGTACATGTTGAACTTCTAGATGTTTTCTATTAAAGGCATCCAATGCAATTTTGGGATGGTAAAACAAATTTATTATGGATGAAGAATTCTGTCTGATATTGACATTGATACTGCCATTTCTTATCACATTTTCATCATATACCTGAAGTATTAGAAATACACGTAGTCCCAAAACGTGTTGTAAATGATATATGTAGCCATGAATTCATCATTAGTCATAACTTATTAATACCAAGGACAAATACCCAAGGACATATTAATACCTACTACTAGAGGGTGGGGTCATACATTTTCTTCTACATGTAAGTTACATGGACTTGCTTTTACTAAGTTTTTGCTTTTTAATCTTTTCCCCCAACAAGACTTCTCTCAAATCTCTATGAAATATCTCAGCTGTAATGTACCCGTTGTCCATCCCAAGGGATTAGGAGGCAGACAGTTCTGCTAGATTAAACCTCTTTGTGGATGCACCATTTTGTTGTGGCAACCACTACAATACATTGCATCATGTAATGCATGTATTCATGATTCTTGTAGATCCCTCTGGAGCCATCTAGGTTGTTCCACAGGTTTTGTATGGGCAACCAAAACCTTGGGATTAATATTCAAACATGGCGATATACTTATTTATTGATCATAGCTGAGTTATTGTTTAATCTTGTATTGCAAGCTTTTATCAAACCTTACTACAAGCAGTATGTTCATGTGCATGTTTCTATGTCCACCAATAGAATGTTTTATGGACATAATCCAAAGTGCATTTGGAACGTTGATAAGAAAAAAGACGAAGCAATTTTCAAACAGAAAAACAACCCAAATTATATTTGGATAGACGAAACGTCATCGCTACGTCACTTGTTTTTCTCACTTTTCTGATCTGGGCATGCCTAGGTGTGTTGGGGGTGTGGCGGGAAGCTATTTCCAGCCCTTCACTCTGATTGGCTGTTGATGAAGTCATATCTATTTCGAGGGGATTTCCTCACAACTCCGCTTTCTGATTGGCTCAGCGCTGCTTTCTGATTGGTTGAACTCTACGTCACGGATCTTAATGTTGCCGGGGGTTTCATCATAAAGTGTAAGCCGGCCGGCAAGCGTCACTTCGATCAAGGCAAGTCTGTGAGTAAGGAGCGTAGGCAGGGATCGAAGCAGTCCGCAAGGACCGAGGAGAAGGTAAATCTTGGCTTGCGTATCCTTGTCGCAATAGGGGTAGATTTTACGTTTTCCTTACGTAAACTGCGAAAAACGAGCAACTGTTTCGAACCCGGAAGTGAGTTCGGTTGTGAAGTGCTCGTAGTACATGTTCGCACATGTTCCTGCAAATGGCGGCGTACCACACTACCTTACATTTTAGTATCTTCTTGCTCTAAAATAGCTACTGCATCTATTTTTTCATTGACAAGACTAAAGAACTGTGCAGTAATGTAACAGGCAAGAATAAGTGAAGTCATGTTGGCTGTCGTTTTGGGTGTTTGCTAACTGACGCCCCCCTCCCTCTCTCAGGTAAAACTACCTGTGAAAGTGGAAACATCTGGACTTGAGAGACTCGGCACCACCGAGGGCTTCGTCATTTCGGACAACACGGAGGCATCCTTCCCCACAACCGCCACCCCGAGCTTAACTAACACCATGCAGACCGACGCCAACGTTTTCTTGTACGACGCAACTGCCATTGCTGCCATTGAAGACGGGAACAGCGCGTCCCAAGACGTGCCCGCCACTCCCACCTCCTTCGAGGAGCTGGTTGCGATGCTGGACATCCCTGGGTTTACTACCACTACCGAGGATGACCACACACAGTGCGCTACGTTGGACCCTGGAACCAAGTGGCCTATTTAACACCGGTGGGTATTTTTCAAACTCTTCAACCTTTGTCGAGATATTTGCACGAACTACTACTAACTGCCATTTGATATAGAAGTACATAACAAAATCATACTTACGTTTCGATTAGCTATTGCCACATCTTTTGGACGTGTGAAACCCTCAAAAAGGCAGTTTGGTGGGGAATATTAAGATATTGACGTGGTTTGCAAGGGATGGAAATAGGTGAATAAATACCCTGGCGTAACCATTGTTGTTGGTATGCATGAATTGCACATGTATTGCGCAACGTTTCGTCATAGTGCCATCACTACTTTAGGCTTTGCTTGCTACAGTTTGTTCCCATATTTTATATGGTGGCTACATTACCAGGGTCTTGCATCATGTGCAGTTTTAGTTTGGAATCCTTCGGTCCGAGAGGTGTTTCATTCGGATTGCATGTGATTGCGCAATCACCTGCAATACCCTCTGAAGCGTGGTCCAAACAAATAGCCCCGCCCACAACCGCAAAGCATGATAACCGCCAAAGCAATGACTGACATTTGCTATACATAGTATCAGGCTTTTCTGCTGTCACTGTCTTTGACTATTTCTACAGATTGCATCATGTTGTGAAATTCATATATTCAAAGCTGTAGCTGTACTGGGTCAGTCTAAAGTTGTTACCCAGATGATTCTGTATGTGTAAACAGGCATTCCCCAAATCTTGTGCATCAACTGAAAAACATTTATTCACCGATTGCCAACACGTTTTTTTCTATCCTGTTTTCAGACGAGTTCGTCGGTATCCCTTCCCTGTCTGAAGGCACCAAGTGTGCTGAGGACATTACGGAACTGACTGACTGCAATGGTGACCTGAGTGAGTTTCTGAGTGGTGATCTGGCTGGGCAGATGTTGGACATGGAGAACTTTCTAGAGTTCACTGACCTGTCCCAGTTCATGGGGATGGTAAATTTTCATTTTATTTGTCTAGCAAATTTCTTAAGATCATAACAAATTTGCTGTTGTTTTACACATGTAAAGTACTGTTTAGTATGACAATTGGAACTGCAGTGCATCTAAATTTCCAAGCTTCTTACATTTGCTTTTTTGATTGTTGGAACTTTTTTCCTTTTCTAGAACAGAGTACAAACTTTAAATATTGGCCCTTGTTTCACTTCAGGTTGGCGCAGGTGAAGCTACAGAGGGAGAGGAAGCGACTGATGTAACAGCCGATGAAGGGGTAGTGCCCATGCTGTTCCCAGTTGCTGACAGCCCTCCCACCGAAGCTGCCATCCCCCAGGCTTCCACTTCCGATGAGCCTCCAGTGAAGATGGCCCGTCTCTCTACCTCCGAGAGTATCGCAGCATCCCCCAGTCCTGATGATCCACCAATCGACAGGCGGCGCAAGAACAACATCGCCGCCCAAGTCTCCCGCCGCAAGCGTAAGGAACGCGAGGCCAATATGGAGCAGAAGGCGGTCGAGCTGGAAGCGGCAAACGCCAAGCTTCGCGAGAAAGTGGCACAGCTGGAGGAGGCAACCAAGGAGATGAAGCAGCGGCTCATCCAATCACTGGCCTTCGGGAAGTGAAGCCGAGGCAGCTATTCAACAGCCTGGTTACCAAAACTCTCCTTGGAGAAGCTAAAAAACTCAGGAGCTAAAGTAGGTTTGGTAACCAGGCTAGATATTCCATGGGTGACCCTGACCATGGCAAAATAGACAAATGAACTTGAACTGTGGACTCTAGTGGTAACACTAGATAACATAGTGTTACTGATGACGAGCTCTGGTTCACTTTCAGTCAAGTCTTTGTCATCGTTTGGTCACTCTTTTATGTTTCCATGTTGATCCTTGTAGAAATGTTTTGTGTTAAGCAAGGAGGTTGTGTTAAATAAGAGACTGTTAGTGATTCCATGTTATCCTGTAGATGTAATTGTAGAGTGGCCATTCTCAGTACAGAAGGGTAGAAATGGACTTAACATTTCCACATGATATAGATGAAAAGATTGGTGTGTTTTTTGGAGAAAGGGAAATTTTAGTCCTTTCCCTCACCCTTCTGTACTAGAAATGGCCTAAGACATGCATAGAGCCCACTTATTGAATTTCTTTCAGTTGTTCACACTGTCACTACTTCTACTCTACATTGGTTAAAAAGAGCAGAAAGTGGCTAAGTGGGCATACATTTTGTAGTCAAGTGAATTATTGCTTGTGGAGGTAGAGCTAGACCAACGAATGTACCTCACTGATAAAAATAAGCCAAAAATATGACTATGAATTAGAATAGCATATTAATATTTTGCTATATGCCTATGTTCCTGACATTTGTTAAAAAGGGTGCTAGGCAAAAGACCAAAAACAAGGTAGTATAGATGATAATCCATTATTGGATGTTAAACAAGAAAAAGTAAAAAAAAAAATCAAATTGAAAAAAAATGTATAATTGTGAAGGAATGAGATTTTTTGAGCCAGATGTTGGCTTACGAAGAATGTGTCTGAATATTTGGAAAGGTTTTAGAATTGGTTGGAATGTTTGATGAAGAAGAGTATAATGCAATGTATACTTCAGAAACCAAGTGTAAACCTCTTATCTAACCTTTTCTTGTGTATTCTAGGACAGATTATCGATCAGTGATGGAATTTTGTTGGAGATTTTTAAATTGAAATGTGTGATGTTATCAGGGCTATACCATTGAACATTTGACAAGGGGGTGGTGAGATTGTTTTTCAGAATGACGGGCATGTGTAACCAGATTGTACATGATGTAAATTGTAAAGACGGAGTAAGAAAAATATCCTGACCACCCCTTTGATGACTTCCATGGTACAGCCCTTACCACCTTGCTAGAGCTTGTATGAAACAGCAGGACATATGTAATGGCAGTATGACACAAGTCTTTGAGATCCTCTATTCAGATAACTGGCTGGCTCAAGAAACTGAATGATGATCTGTAAGACTTACAAAGCACTACCGAGTGTGCAATATAGTAAAAGCCTTTGTGTTGATGGAGAATGGTTGAGAAAAAAAAATGTAGTCAGAACACTGGCCTGTACTTCAGTTGGAAAAAAGCACTGTAGAAGGCTTTTTAATCATGGCAGTATCTTGATGTTTTATCTTGATATATATCCTGTACTGCATTTTCTGCTGTTACAGGTGGGAGTAAATTTCTACATGTTTTTATATGGAAGGATCAGATGTAAATAAAAAGACACTGGTGATCTAATGATCTTGTCTGTTTGTTTTTATTGTTACTCTTGTGTGATACATTGTAGGCTGAGTTTTATGCTCACAAAAGAAAGGAAATCTATTCCCCTAGGATTGAAAATACAGAAATGGGGGAGGGGGGCAAGAAGAAACCCACTCACACTTGTTGGATTGGATGAAACAAAAGTCTTCTAGAGGGAGCATATATGTCTGTTGTATAGCAGTTCATTCTTGGGAACTTGTTAAGTTCCCATACATAGACTGACCCTAAAGTGTCTCTATGTTAGACTGAAGAGAGTTTTTTGCTAATATTAATATTATCTCCACATACACTCCAACACACAAAGTTGATTTTGTTAATGCAGTGTTGAGGTCAACATTAAAATGCTCCACCCCAACAATGATCCCGTACTGGTGTTAAGTTTTGATGCAACATAAATGTTGAACATCTAAAACTCAGCCACACAGTAACACTGTGTCTCCTTGGACTTGGATTATCAGAAATGATCTACTCGTAATTTTCTCCCATTACTATGACTAGATAAATTATGTACATGTAGGTAGTCGTTTATTTGTCTTATGATTAAATCAATCATTAAACCAGTCAGTTTATCATTATATCCAAGATTACACTGCACATCTACAACTTCTTTGTCTTCTTGATGGCACTGCCTGGGTCGGCCGCGCTAACCCTGCGTTTTCTCTGCTGTAGAGAGAGGCAAGAACAGAACTTAGGCCACACCGATTTAACCCTGGTGATGTCAAACCGTGTTTCCAAAAGAATCAGAATAGGAAATTTTGACTGTTTCTTATCCAAAGCGGTGAGATTTAGAAAGCATTCTTTTTCATATTTGTACCATCTCCAGAATCAAATGAATGTGGCCTTACGCCTGAGTTTAGAAGCCTCTAAACCTACAGAAAGCACTCAACCCACAATCTTTATAAATATACAAACAGCACTGTTGTATTACAAGCCCAAAAGAGGTACAAAAATCAGACTGCCAAACAGGTATAGAACTGCTTGGCAGTAGCAGCGAGCAGGCAACTTTGTTTGACAAAGCTCCACCAAGGCTACACACAGCACTGTGGTCAGTGCATACTTACTGGGGTGGAGGGACCAGTCGATACAACATCTATGATGTCAGAGGCCTGGAAAAAAACAGGAATAAAAGAGGTTAGAAGAAGGTTGCGAGAGCAAAACCAACACAATACATGAAACCTGTTCACTTAGTGCACTGTTAGTTACATTTAATACTGAGTCACACAACTGAGAACAAATGTGAGACATTTCAGATGGTATTTTGATCTGATTCAAAGATATTACTTACTGTTAACATAGGTTTTTGATGTAGGGAATGTTCTTTGCCAAAAAGGCAGGACTCAAAATGCATTTTTGGGAATAGGGGCACTGGTGCACCCAACCTAAAAAATTGCAAATGCACCCAGTATTTTGAGCCCTGCAAAAAGGCAATGACAACTGCTTTTTGTACTTATGTAACATGGAGAAATCTGAAGAACCGAACCTTTTTCCTTGAAGGCGACTCTTCGCCCTCTGCAGGGGCAGCTCCAGACGTGCTGGGACCAGGTGTTGTGGGGAGGACAGTCAGCGGCATCTTCCCTGGGGCCAGGGCTTCAAACCGATGTCGCAGGGTCTGCAGCTCAAACTCACAGTTGGCGTAGGCTAACTTCAGGTCGTACAGGAACACCATATCACTCCTACAAACAATAAAACAAAATATTTTATTTGTTCTCATACATTTTTTGCATAAGAAGAAGAAAAGAAAGCTGTAGTGTTTATGTTTATGTTTATTAGGAATCTCCATTAGTAATACAATGTTTGTTTACTAGTCTTCCTGGAGTCCTTTAACATTACATTTAAAACATGAAATATAATCAATTACAAAGTTAACTTAATAGCTACATTACAACATTACAGTCAATCTACCTGAGTTCGTTGAACTCCCGACATATCTCTTCTGTGGGCATGGGATATAGGTCTGTAACAAAGAAATTTCAAGGATCAGTCAGCTATTAATAACATGTAGTGAGTCAGTACCAATTCTAAGTAAAGTTGATGGTTATGGTACGAAACATCAGCATAATCTATGAGAATATGATGAAATTACATGCATCTGACATACAAATATTTTCTTATCTAGAAACTAACCATTGATTTTCATAACACTACCAGCAACACAGCAAACTCAAAGACTATGGATAGAAAAGGCTGGGAAGTGGTACATTGTAAATGTACTTACCTATTCCTAACTCCTCCAGAAGTTGTTCTATGGCCTTAACCTTCTTCTGGCCCACTGAGGAAGGAAGCTTCATCTGCAAAGAGATGAGAAAGTAACATATAAAACAGCTTCATTCTATTACAAAAGCAGTCCATGAAGCAAGGATGAAATGGACCTGAAAGCTTAGAAAGACCTACATATGAGGAGCTCGGAGATAAACTTACTCTCTGGCTTCTGAGGGACACCCCAGCCTGCTTGAAGTCAGGGAACTTGATACCAGTTGGGATATCTACAGAGCCCTGTTGGAAAAAAAATGTGTAATTTTATTTACCAGTATTCAAATCTTCAAATACAAAACTGAACTCTTCCTATTGAAATACATCTGTACAAATTGCAGAACTAGACAAGTACACCCACCGAAGACTCTCTCTTCTCTTTGGTGAGAAGTTTTTTCTTGGTGGATTTTCTCTCAGATCTGCGTGCGTCAGAGCTGTCTGCTGCAGTGATGAGTTTCTGCAAGTCTTGAGTCTTCTTCTCCCGCTCCTTCTTTCTCATCTCAATCTTCTTAAGCTCCTGGTTAAGATATTCCTCTTCCTTCACCTGTTCTGGTGTTCTGTTGAGATAGAAAATGATTATACAAAATGTAATCTAGTTTCCACATGCTAAAAAATGTCATCTTCTAATAGTCTTGACAAGAATAATAGATGCTCTGAACATGTAAATACATTACATGTTCTTTGGGAACTTCACACTGCCCCTTTTGTACAGTGAAAGATGGACTGCAGTTTAATGTCCCATCCTAAGGACTGCAACACTTTCGAGTAGCATATCAGCCAGGATTCAAACCAACAACCCCCTGGTCCATCCATATGCAGGGTCACTAATAATTCTACCATGCACCGTACCTATTAAAGAGGCGATCTAGCTGCTCTTTGCGCCGTCTCTCGTGGTCTGCATCAAACACATAAACTTTGGGCTCCTGGCCTGGTGGGGCTCGAATCTGAAACAGCAGCATTGTATTAGTACATATACATGTATACCGGTATAAGATGCTTAGGTTTTTTAATGTACAAACACTACAGGAACAACACTGGTAGAGTTTACAGTGACTACAGGGACAGGCATTGGACCAAACATAAGAAATAATCGAGAAAAGATTGTGTATCTGCAAATATATTTTCAGCATTGGTCTGCTCTCTAAATGTAGTAACTTCTATCATAGTAGAGAAAACAATGAAGAACAGACTAGAAACGTAACATTTGCAAAGCAAATGCATTATGTTTACCTTCGCATGGCCCAGCTTAACAAGCTTTGTTTATTCTTACTTAAACACATTCATATATATATATGATGACCATGCAGCCACTCTTGAACTCAGTTCTGCATGGCACTTGCAACATATACATATAATCCAACACCAGTTACCATGGTGAGAGACATCTGGTTCAGGTCATTGACTTTATTTGTTTGGAGAAGAAACTGAGGAAAAACAACATGTTTTCCTTCAGTAAACATAACAATATGACAACCTTGGTGAGTTTGCTACAGATGCTGTAGTATCTCTCCTTCAGGTCCTCAATGCTGCGCTTCTTGAACTGGTCGTGATCGTATCTGTCGTGGATGACAAACCAGCGGAGGTCAAACTTCCGACACAGCCCGAAGAGATGGTCAGTTTCAGGCCGCGTCCACCCATCCTCATGTAGGTGAAGCTGGTACTCCTGTTCTGAGTAGATTGGCACCTGGACTGACTGTAACAAGGAAGTATGATTCATGAGAACATGTGTAAAATTTCAACCTATCTGTTTGTAATACTTAACATTGCCATATTGTATTATACTGTCCTATGGTGAACAATTTTGTAAATAAGATGTATGTAGTACATTCTGTTGTAGTATGCTGTGGTATTTGTTAATCATTAACATTAACAATAGCCAAAAAAGTAAATTACAGGTGACTGATAAAAAAATACAGTACATAGGAGCCCATATGATAATGTCCCATTATCTGTTTATTATATTCTATACAATATTATATTATATATCAATATATAAGATATTCTATATTTTACCCACATCAAAGACTTAGCATTTTAATGGCTCTATTTCCTGGTTGCACTGTCTATTCCATTTGCAGTATATGTACAAATGTTTAACCTGACCTTGTTAAATCTGGCAAATGGATAGTCCTTCCCCTCGTCTGCCACTCGTCTCCAGTGGTTGAAGATGGCTCCATCCTTACGGGCGGGGTTTGTGAAGGGCATGAACTTCCATGGGCGCACCTATTTTTCACACACAAAAAAAAGACAAGAACTATGACATACCTGGATAATTTCATCTGGTTGGTAAGTTATCAAATTAAGAGACTCTCTTTGCACAACCAAGTGTTTTATTTACACCTGTGCTGTGCAATGTGAACCAGTCAGAATTTCCCCGAGGAAGATGACAGATGGTCGGCTGAATAGAAAAACTTTGTTGTGTAAAAAAGAGTCTCTTTTCTCAAGAATGATGATAACAATATGAGACTACATGCTGACAAGTAAAGGAAAGTATAGTGCTTACAATATACAAATTATGTAGATCTGATCAGGTTTACAAGTAACACTGAGCAAGCTCATACTGATCAAAAGCATATACCAGGTACATGCTCAAATATCATTTGATGCGTAGAAAGTGCAGAAAAGGAGTTTACCTTGCTACGGCCCAACTTGGCCTTCAGGGTGCGGTAGCCTTGGTTGGAAGCACTCGGAATGATAGGCGGCGCGTCCCTGAAATATGTGGAACTGAGCGGGAGGGGGGCTAAGTCAATGGGGGAGTTCACGTCACAACATCTATTACATGTGAAGTGTAAAGGAGAAATTGGACATATAAAAACAAGACGTAAAGGTAAGGAGATAGGGATAAAGTTAGACATACATTATCTGTGGATGGGGCAAACTTATACATTTACTAACAACATGTATTTTTGTTGAACCACTACAAGCTCTAGTCCCTATTAATTTACTATGGTCCAGAAACATTCAACTTTACTTTTAATGTGTGGAAGAACTGGAAGCTTTTCTTACTTGTTGTCTGAGAACAACAGGGCGTAGACCTCTCGGTGCATCCCTTCTGGTCTTTTGAACGTCGGTGTGTCTGACAGTTTCTTCACCTTTTTCTGAGGATTGAACATGAACATGTGGATGAAGAAGAATCAGATGTAATGATGTAACAGTTGTATATTACAAAATTCTCTTTTAAAAAAATCATGATTCTGGCAACATCGAAACATATGGCTATTGCTGTTAATATAAGTTACTGTGATGCCGCTGAACCATTAACCAACATTAAAAGTTACACAAACAAATGACTTGGGGTCGTGTGGTGCAAAGGCAGAGCATTTAGTTCAGAACCAACAGGTCCCGGGTTCGAATCCTGCCATGTCACCAACCTTGTGCCCTTGGGAAACTTCAAAGGCACTTAACATGACTTTCCTGACTTTGCTCAGGTGTTAATGAGTATGGCAAAATGATCATTAATACATTATCATGATCATGGGCATTAAAAGAAAAACCAAACCAAAACCAGCTATCCTTGTGCTTGGCTCTTTAAACAGAAAGCTGTATAAAAAACTCACTGTTTTCATGATGTTTTCCCGTGGTGTGCCCCCCTCCCCCTCCTGGCCTGATGGACCACCCAGTTCCAGGATGTCACGCACATCACTTGTCGTTGCCATGACTACAGCAGACTGGAAAGAAGTACAAGAAATATCTATGACAAGACCTAAAATAATGGGGGCCCGCATGCCCTTTCCCATTGAGCGTAATCGGCCATTTTAATTCTACGTAGAGCATAAACGGACCACTCTAATTCAACGTAGAGCGTTATTGGCACATTTTGCGTAAAGTGTTTCATTTTATTTTATGTAATGCGTTGTTGCTACCTGGAATTTATCGTAAAGCGAAACGGGGGAGGCTTCCTGAATTCAGCATAATACATAGCCAGCTTTCAAAATTTAGCATAGAGCGTTGTCAGGACACCCCATGCAGGCCCTCAATAATAGCTATTTACAAAACTACATGTTATGACTTTAAAATATAATATTTTTGTGCATGGTAAGTGAAGAACATAAATTTATGTGCGTCTTTGGCAACCAAAAAAATGCAAGTTACCAGCTTCAAGAAATTTCTGTTACACAAGAACAATAACCGAAATATTTCATACAACCTTTGAGGTTCCATATCAAATACCTAAGCATATCATGTACGCAATTTTTTGCTGTCTCCAAAAATCCCGCCTTTGGTCTTTGTTAGATGCGTGCTAAACACTGCCCCCCTCCCACCAACAAGCAACATCTACAACTCATTTTACCGCATCAAAAACAAATACATCACAAAACAATCACCATAGAATGAATCTCAAATATTTCTAGTATCTAAAGATGTTATACTTACCTCTAGGAAGTCCCAAAATGTGCAAATATTTAACAATTCTTAGCTAGTTGTTTTCGCTCATATTTTTTCTTCGGGAAAACGTTGCAATGCATTGTGGGATATCCTGTCAAAGGTTAAGCTATTCACCTTTGACCCCGACTGACACTTGCTACCGACTTTCTTGTCTATGTCAAGCAGAATTTTATTATTTTGGACGTTTTAATCATAATTGAGCAGAAATTATGTTATCGAGAGGGCTATTCAGAGTCCCCGTGTCGCTTGGAGTTCGCCCAGGGCTCGCTAGGTCCATCGGAACGCACGCTAGACCCTTCAAGACGTTGGAAGGTGCAGTGGACACCTCGAGTAAAACCTTCCAAGAAAACTTGAAGACGAGCGAGAAGTTGGAGGAGAAGTACACCGTCCTTCTTCAGCAGGTCTTGGCTGGAGGTGGTCCGAAGGCGATCGACAGGCACGTCAAGAAGAACAAGAAGCTGTTGGTTCGCGACAGGTGTGAAGCCATTTTGCTACTTTTGTTTGATCACAATGATGATTTTTCCCACCTGTAATATTTATGTTTACCGAAGGAAAACATATTAGAGTAGAGTAGATGCCTTCGGCCAGGATATTGCTGTTGCTCTATTTCTTCCTCTTCTTCTTCTCCAAACAAATAAAGTCAATGACCTGAACCAGACGTCTGTTACCATGGTAATTAGTGTTGGGTTACATCATGTTGCAATTTTATCGCCGTGGCTATATACACTCCCGGTGTGTATATAAAAGACAAATAGATTTTATATACACTCCGAAATACTAGCCTCCTTGGTAGGCCCAAACTTGGGTTTTGTG